TAGTACATAGAGAGTTTATGTCAAAAAAAAGGTTTTGCCGAGATTATTCTATGAGAGTAAAGATTACATCCCCAAAGTTTGACACTGAAAAGTATCCATAGTATGTGTTTTTCTAGAGGGAGGAAATAAATAGTATCCTCCCTAGGGAGAAAAGGAGGAGGAACTCTTTTCACTTATGCTATAATAAGCTATATCCAATTCCAAACTTCATCTGCGTTCAGAAGGTTCTAATACACTAACTTCTTATATACTTCTTGTAAGGAAGCATCCCTACTTAGAAGGGACCTATATAAATATTCTAAATCTAATTAGAGATTGTGGGCATCTCTTTTGACCTGTTTATATGTCCAAAAAAAAGAAAAGAAAAGAAAAGAAGAGAGGTATAATGGCTAAATATGTGAAGGTAGAGCCTATTGCAAGCCCATATGTTGGCTGGTGAATTTATGGATATCCAATGTTTATTAAAAAACTAATTAAGGATAAAGATATGTTGTCTTTGGTTGGAACTTGGAAAATAGTGATATGAAGTTTGACAAGTTCATATTTATTATAGTTTTTCTTTTGATAGAGTAGGAAGATTTGTACAACCGACGTGAGTAGTCGAAAAAAAGCTTTATTGTAGTTTTGCTTTTATTTTCTTTGGAATTTTTCATTCTAAATCCAACGAGAGCGTTGACTCTTAGTCGGATCGCCTCTTGCCTGCTCAATGGTTGGATCTTATTTTACAGTAACAAAGGCACATAGACTTTATGACTATGCTTATTTTCTTAAATTTATTAGGGAAATTATACAAAGAGCCCATTTACTGTTAATACAAAAAAGTCACGATCACTTTTTTTTATCAGATTTTAAATTGTATAGTTGTGAATATATCATTGACTAGATTTCGAGTTCAAAAAAGAAATTCTCGAACTTTGTAACACACCGCAAGCCATCCAATTTGACATCTAATGACTAGTACCAATTGTAACCTCTTTGTACAAAAAATAAATGGTCTCATAGTATAGAATCTTAATTTATTACAAAATATTTTTTTTTTTCTTTTTCGGTACACTATAATAATTATCATTATTATAATAATTAAAGGGAAAAGGTTATATAAGGCTGCAACATTAAAATGTAGAATTACAGATGCACCTCAAAAATCCATCACAAAAGGTTGTTTTAATGTTGAAAAAACCTCACGGTGATCATCTCGACATTGAGATGTAATACGAATATGAAAGAAAAAAAGATTTTGAGTCCTAAAAGTAGTGCGTCTTGCAATACATTATCCAGACTGTCCATTGTCAACATTTTTATATGTTTATAGATTTGCTTGATTTTAACCATTTTTGGAGTTAAAAAATTTAAAACTAGATATGAAAATAGATTTTGAGTTAATCCTAATAATTTTTTCACCAAATTACATGTTATAATAAAATTTGGAGGCGCACCTTAATTGGATTGTTTAAGGTTACAATAACGTTTACTGTACCATTCGATTAAGATCTTGAGAATTTTAATAGTTGTTATCTATGAGACCCAATTGTAAATTAAGATCTCGACCATAATTCGGGTGTAAAAATAAAAAAAATAAAAAATTTATTATATATATATATATATATATTTATATTTTATGCAAGGTTGGGTCGATCTAGATGTGGACCCCAACCCAATGGGCACCATGCCAGACCTGGAGCTGGACCCTAGCAAGCATTTGGACCTGGATCCAGTTTCGGTTCAATCGGCCCACCAGGCCAGTGGGTTGACCCTAGCCGATTTGCACCCTTACATGTTTTTCATTTTTGAACCATCTATCGTCATTATCGGACAGTGGAGATGAGCAACTAAAGTTTTTAAAGTCGCACTATTCCTGGTCAGGCAACAACAACTGTTTTTTTAATAGAAATTCAAATATTATATTAACATTCTAGAAAGAGATTAGAGAGAGTTAGAGACCAAAGTCTCAGATAAAAAGGTTCTTCTTTGAGAAGAAAATATGTCAACCCATTAGATTCCCTATAAATATGCACAAAGGAGAAAATAAAAGAACTAGCTATATCCTAAGTCTATAACAACACCGATCTCATCTCCCAACGAGGCTTCTACTTCCTATTGCACCAATTAATGATGTTTAGAGAATCCCCTTCAATGATACAATAATGACCCAGATTCCTAGTCATTAGAAATTTTAAATCATGAAGAAGTGCATGAAGCTCTGCATAGTTAGCAGTCCTTTCACTGATAGGACCAACATAAGTAAAGACGATACTACCATTCCAGTCTCTAACCACCCCTCCAAAACCTGCCAAACCAGGGTTCCCCAATGAACTACCATCAAAGTTAAGTTTAAAAACCCTCATCAAAGGAGCCACCCATCTCCCTTTAGGCCTATATTTAATGAAGCCCATATGAAAAAGGTTTGGCAGATTTCACCTCACATCCACTTTTGAAATGTTTTGCCCACCTTTTGTCACTGAGAGATAAAGCCAAATTGAATGCAAATTCTTTCCCAAAATTTTCTCATGAGGCAAACATATCCCCTTAAATGTGATTTTATTCCTCCCATAAGATCACGCCTCTCGTGATTTGCCATATTACCAAACCTAGCTGTGGTAAAAAAAGAAGTGACAAATTTGAGAGAAAACCCTCAACTTTTGAAGGCATAACCATTGCAACCCCAAGCTGACAAAAAAACCAACTCCGGGTTCTAGAAGTGAATGAACAATGGAAAAATAGATGAACATCTGTTTCACTATCCTCCTTACGTAATAGGCAAATATTTGGCAAGATCTTTCCCTTTTTGATGATATTATCAATTGTTAGAACCTTGTTTTGAACTGTCAGCCATAGAAATGCTTACCCTTTAAGAGGTAAAGGCCATTTTCAGACAATGGCAACTTCAAGCATGGTCCATCTCCAACGATCATGAAACAATAATTTGTACATCGACTTAACCGAATACTCTTCATCTTTGTCAATATCCCACACCACCTCATTAGCAGCAGTATGAGATATGTAAACTTCATTAAGGAGCATCAATAAGTCAGAGTATTTAGTAAAGACAGAGTCCGAAATCCTATTATATGGAAGATTAATATTCTATACAATATGATTTTCTCGCCACTCAAAATAATCAGAGATGAGCACATTGGGGTTAGACATCATCTGAAATACAAGAGGAAACATGTATTTCAAAGGTGAAGAGCCTAACCATTTGTGTCAGGCAACAACAACTCATGTCTAGTCATTATCTATGAGGCCCAACTGTAAATAACCAATCAAGTTTGCTTATTTAAAATAGTAAATATGAGAATTATTGCTAAAATTTAAACTTTTAACCCTATATTTTTCAATAGGGTTTTGTTATGCTACACCACTTGTGATGTATATACCTTTAAAGTCCTCAACATGACATTTAGATACCCTTGCATTGTAATACAAAATTTTTCAAGCAAAGACAATTTTGGTCATTTAGAATGATAGAATGAATATTTTTATAAGAAAATCATGACATTATATAGTAATTAAAAAATAATTAATGCACCATGTGGGTGATGTCATACACCATTTCAGTGATGTCATTGTCCACTATTGTTCATAAATTCTTTTATTTCTATTAGGAATTTCTTCTTTACTCTTGACTAATTACTTAAAGGGTGTGGTTTGCATAAGGTTGCAACCCTAAACAATCAAAATAAAGTGTAGCTTCAAACTTCAGCATGAGATGCAAATTTGGTGTCGGAAATTCTTAGGATGGGGCAAGAATCTATTTTTATCTCTAATTATGAAACTTTAAATTTAAAAAATGGTTCAAATCATGCATATCTGTATGTACATGAAAATCTTAAAAATGGATAGACCAGATAATTTGTTGTAAGATGTACTAATTTTATAAATTGAAATCTCTTTTTTCTCTATATCTATACGTCTTAATATCTAGATAATCAATTCGAAGTTTATCTATATCAAAACAACATTTAACGAAGGATTTTGAGAAGTGCGTCTAATTCTACATTTTAAGGTGTCAACCTTATACAAACCTTTTTCTTACTTAAAATACCCTCAAACAAAAAGTTATTATACTATGTGATAAAGGTATCTAAGTGCCAAAAAATGTTGAATACTTTAAAAGTATACACCACAACTGGTGTACAGCGTAACAAAACTCTTTTTAATATTACCACCCACATACGCATGGTACCCAGCCGTTGGAAGAAACCTATATTTCCACCCATTTTTGTTGAAATTCGAATAATACAATAAAATAAGGCTGCGGTTAGCATGCGGCCATGCGCACACATGCAGAAATGCGGGCTTGGCAATAAAGATATTTTCTAAATGCCCCCACACCTTAATTTTTAGAGAATATATAATCTTTTAACATGAAGATCATGAATATGAAAAATAAATAAACTTTTTAAAAATTAAAAATAATAATTATACTAAAAAAATAGTTAGACCGTTAGTCATAAGATGGACCACCTATTTGCATCCATTTTGTAAGATGGAATCTTTATACATGTGGACCGTATATTGAGATCCAACCCGCACGAAAGAATTGTTCATGAAATAATATTACTTAATTTTCTAAAAAAAAAGAAAAAAAAGAAAAAAAAGCGTTGAACCTTTTCTTTGTCTGTTTTTTTTGTCCGAACTTAGAGGCCCCTCGGTCTGCAACTTCCCCTCAAAACAAGGGGAATGTCTGTCTCAACCTTGACAAAAGTTTAATCCACTAAGAAACGCCTTAAAAAAGAGAATTTAGAGAGAGAGAGAGGATTTTAGAGAGAGAAAGAGAGAATTTTAGAGAGAGAAAGAGAGCTTAAGAGAAAAGGGTGAGATAGCTTAAAAACAGGGTGGCAAAGCCAGGCTGGTTCCTCCCATTCTCCGCCTCTTTAACGCTTTTCACTCTCTAGACACCGTGTGGCGCACCCTGGACCGGGGGTTCAAGAGGCAGTTAAGGTCCAGCTACGTGAGCCATGGTTCGGTGGTCTTATAAAAAGGGCTCGGAGGTGGGCTCATTGATTGAGCTTCTCGGTTGCAGAGGAGGTTTGAAGGGCTGAGGAAAGAGAAGAGAGAGAGAGAGAGAGAGAGGGTGTAGAGACAGAGAAAGAGAGGATGGGAGGCTGTGCGAGCGTCTCGCGCGGTGCCAAGGCAGAGGACCTGCACCCGCCCGAAGCTTGCACGGTGCCTCAGCCGGAGGTGTCAGCAAAGGTAGAGAGAGAAAGAGAGGGAGAGTGGAGGTCACTTGGTGATTTGTTTGATGAGGAGGTAAGGGAGGGGAGATGCAGGTGAAGGAATGGGTGAAGTACAGGAGCTGGGTTTTCTCTCTCTTCTCCTTGTTGGGTCCTCTGGTTTTCTCTCTCCTCTTATTTTTGGTGCTTTTTTTTGTCATAGAAAAGAAAAAGAAGAGAGAGAGACAGGCCATTAACAGGGAGGAGAATCCTTCACTTCCCCCCTCCCTTACTCCCTCTATCTAAACCATTTATTGTCCACATTTCTCATTTCCTCTCGCCTAACACTTCATCTGTCTTTCTTTTTTTACAGAATGAAGAGGTGAACGACACCACGGAAGAGATCGAGAAAGCCTCCGACGAAGCTGCAAAGCCTCAGCCCGAGCAACCGGAAGCCGAAAAGAAAGAAGAGGAGGCCCAGCCCCAAGAACCCAAGATCGAAAACACAGAAGACGAACCCAAACCCAAAGAAGAAGAGAAAATTGTGGACAGAGAGATCCCAGTGGAAGAAGCAGAGGAAACCAAGGTGCCTGAAGAAGCTAAAAATGTAGATGAAGAGGAGCCAAAGGAAGCCCAAGCCGAAGTGGCCGAAAAAGCCGTTGAGGAGGGCGAAAAGGCCGACACGAGACAGGAAGTTGTTGCAGAGGAGGGGGGAGAGAAGATGAATTGAAAGGGGTGACTGTAACGGCTTGAAATTTGAATTTGGTGTATGATTTTTTCTGTTCTTTGTTATTTTTTTTTTCACCGGGTTTTTTTTCTTCTTTTCTTTGTGGTGCCATCCGTTTTTCACTTTCACGAATTTGGGTTTTATTCCATTGATATAACGCCATTTATCAGGGTCTGTGTCTTCTCTATCTAAAAATTTGACTCATTATAAGTCATTTAAGGATTGTGTTTGGTAGCTCTGGGAAATTTTCTTGTAGGCTTCTATCTTTCACTTCTTTCTTGTTTGGTAGCTTTGGAGGATTCAAGAATGGTTTAATTGACAAACCAGAGGCGGAATAAATCATGGATTTTTGTTTAAGAATGAAATTTTATTGGAACTGTCCATATTTGTCTATATTTGGTTGCGCCATATCACATCTTGGATTTGATGAAATATGATGTATTGAGACGGTATTTTATACATACATAATTATCTGGAATGCAGTAGCCATTTCTTTATTTTGCTATCGGGAATGGACAAAAGAAACATTTGGTTGTTTTTTCAACAATTTCTGATATTTAGTGACCATTTGACCTCAGATGATGTTCTTACCATCTCTCGGAAAACAAAAAGACCTAATTAATCTTGTAGGATTACCAATAAATTCTTCAATTTCTTCCGAAAAGACGCCAATATTAATACAATCCTACATATCTTTGTCTTTTGTAATTATGGGCATCCGCAAAAATTATGCGATCACCATAGGTTATAAGCACAAGTAATAATATATTTTCTTTTAGCGATGATAACATTTATTATTATTATTATTATTTTTATAATTATTCTCAAAACCCATGTGCTTGTAAATGTGTGAGGTTTCACTTAAAAAAAAAAAATTACTTATAAATATTGGCATAGCAAGCTGGTGCTGTATTGAGTAGCTTTAGTAAAGTCTATACCTAATCTCAAAAGTTAAGACATCCAAATGGATACATTTAATGGTCCATTCAAACGCCCTAGTTGTACTCTTAAACTGGCAGGGATTATTAAAAAGATGGGGTTTCTATGAGTGGGCCGACTCATATGTATAGATGCGCCCCCCTCCCCCACTAAAGTTTATTTTAGATGAATTTTTTCTATTTTTTTTTTTTTGTAGGACATGCCCAACAAGTTTCCGCACACCAATTCCTCATCTAGGCCAAGATGACTGTAAATATGAAAAGAAAAATAAACTTTTAAAATTAAAATACAAAATTGTAGTATTTTTTATACACCATCCATATCTTATTTACAGATAATACACTTTGACGATTACAAATATGAAAAGAAAAATAAAATTTTAAAATTAAAATACAAAATTTGTAGTATTTTTTGTACACCATCCATATCTTATTTACGGATAATACACTTTTGGATAACATCCATTCTAAAGATGGACATTTGTAAATCAGTGGGCTTTTGTGCCTGTTGTCTCATGAAACAATTTTCCTTATTGAAATAAAAATATTTGTCAAAAAATTTCCTACAAATTACGCATACGCTCATCGACCGACCCTTTAGGAAACCAATGGTGGAGATGAAGTAGCACGCAATGGGGTACATGATAAAATGTTGAAGGAGATCTATGCTTCGTCTCCACCAATTCTCTACCGAGTGGCAGCTGTGGGAGTATTGTTTCTTTATGTTTTTAGCATCTTTTGTAGGTAGTATGCTTCCTTGAAATAAAAGCTTTCATTATGATAATGGGAAAACCTTCCCCAATTATTAGGACTACATTAGTGATAGTACGCTAGGGAAATTAATCGGAAAAAGGATTTGCATCTTATTAGTGGTTTAAATGGGATATAGGGGTGGCAATGGACCTAGACCCGATCCAGGACCCGAGGGATAGACCCGATCCATGTCTGGGTATGGGTCCAAAAATTGGACCCGATGGTCAGGTAGTATTTTTCGGGTCCCATTATATAAAATATAGTTAAATACATAGATATTTTAATTTTTGGGTCAAGTCCAATTTCGGGTCCGGTTGAACCTGGACCTGATCCATTGTCAACCCTAAATGGATACTCGAGCATATTATTGCCCGGAAAAGGGGATGGGTCTCATCTAGTTCAATAATAAAACCATACCAGTTGAGTCACTTAGGGAACTAAGAGATTCTGTTTAGCCAAAAGATATTGAGTGCGGTTTCTATAAGGTTGCAACCTTAAACAATCCATTTAAAGCACACCTTCTATAAGGTTTTTATATAGGTTTTTTGACCGAGGGAGTTGAAGTAAACTATGTTCCCGAGGGAGTATAGTACATGTGCTCTTTTGTTAAATAGAATCGCCTAATTCCCACCCAATTTGATTTTGGACCGATTCCCAAACTAAAGAATCTGTCAGATTCTTATTGGTTGATAATCTGGATAGGTCCAACAAAAGATTTTTTTCCGATATGAAGTTCGGAACTACTAGAGAATATCACTTTCACATTTTAACATGGTATGAGAGCATATCTTATATGATAGCATCGCTCTTTTCATATTAAAAGTTCAGCAGCGATATCATGGCATCAGTTGTGATTATCATGCTTCTGCAAGAGAGAGTTTGGCTGGCTCGTGGTTTTGGCGGTGAGGGAAAACATCTCGTCTTTTCCTTGATACATTGTTGATTGGGAGATATTCCATGGTGGTGATGGATATTCTCTCTCTAGCTTGCTTCTGCCGAGTTCTTTCTCTCTCTACTAAAATCACTAGCACCTTCAGCAACTTCGTCTTATTTGTTTGCCAATCTTGCATCTTGCAAAGGGTTTTGCAAGCACCCGAACATTGTCTTATTTGTTTGCCAATTTTGCAGCTTGCAAAGGCTTTTGCAAGCATCCAACGTCCTTGCCTTTGCAAGCACCCCACGTCTTCCAAAAAGATGCTTTTGTGCTTTCAAACCGTGCAGCATAACGTTAGATAGAAAAAGAGCAACAAACCCAAATTTCAGTAGCAGAAAAGGCTCGAATTGTAAAACTTATAAAGTATTTCAAATTTTTAGAATGATAAATGAAAGATAAAATATTATTGAGTTGGTTACTTTCTACTCTCTTTGATGACTTGCTCACTGAAGTGATGCACCTGACGACAACTCAAGAAGTGTGGGAGACACTTTACAACACATATCAATGGAGATATTTTCTAATGTTCTCTAACTTAAACATATTTGATCAATTTACAAAAGGGCTCTCAATCAGCGATTGAATACCTGAATAAGTTCAAAAATGTATGTGACACCTTGCAGCAATTGGTAGTCCAATAAGTGATCAAGATATGTTTCTCTATACCCTCAAAGGTCTTGGTCCAGAGTTTAAGTCATTTGAGGCCTCCCTAATGACCAAACAACCATTTCCGTCCTTCTTAGAGCTTCAATATTCTCTTCTCACATTTGAAGCTCGGTTTGGATCTTCATCGATTGTTGAAAATAATCCTCAAGCCTTGGTGAACACATCATCAGGGAAAAGAGGTGGATATGTTCGAAGACATAGTCGTTATGGAGGTAGAGGAGGTAGATGTTGCAACCCAAATCAGCAAGGCATCATTGGACCAGCCCACCTTTCCATCAACCTCCTCAGCCAAGAATGGGCATGATACCTTGCGTAATTTACCAGTATTTTGGGCGACATAGACGTATTGCTAAAAACTGCTGGGACTTAAAAATGTCTCATCGTCCCACAATGCGACAATACATGATTTCAGCAATCTATCAACCACTACACCAATTGATCGTTCATGGGTTATGGATTTGGGTGCAACTACTCATATGACGGATGACAACTTTCAACTTAGAGGTATGATTCCTTACCATGATTTTTGTATGGTATTCACTGGAGATGGTATTGCCCAACCTATAACTCATATTGAAACTGTGAGTATTTCCACTACCTTTGGTTCTTTAAATATTCATAATGTTACTTGTTCCCAAACTAAAGAAACAACTCATATCTGTCTCTCAATTTGCTACAGATTTTAAGTGTTGTTTTGAGTTTAACTCTCATAGTTGTATTGTGAAGGATCTATAAAGTGGGAAGGTAATTGTTGAGGGGGTGCAAAGAGAAGGTTGGTACGTGGTTCAAAATAATCAACTCTATGGTCTTGCTACAATTATCTCCAAAGCTAAAGGAGAAGCTATTTCGTGACATGAGCGCCTAGGTCATCCTAGTTTCACTACCGTCAGTCGTCTTGGAAGAGAGTTAGCTCTACCTAATTTTGTTGATGATTTATCTCCTGTTTCACTGTGTTCTTCTTCTTAGTTAGGAAAACACTTTGAGTCTATACTTGACTCTTCTAATAGAAAGTCTAATGCTCATCTTGATTTAATTCACAGTGATGTTTGGGGTCCAGCCCTAATTACTTCTTTATCAAGTTTTAAATTTTATATTATTTTTGTGGATAATTATACTTGATTTACTTAGATATATTTTTTGAAGAAAAAATATGATGTGTTTAATTGTTTTGTTCAATTTCATACTTATGTTGAGCGCCAATTTGCTCACAAACTCAAGGCCTTTAGATCTGATGGTGGAGGTGAATTTACCTATCATGTTTTAAAAGAATGTTTGAGTCAGCAGGGAATTCATCATCAATATTCATGTACGTACACTTCAGCACAAATGGTGTTGCTGAGCGCAAGCAATGTCACATTGTTGAGAGTAGTATTTCCATGATGTATGCAAGTGGACTACTTCAATTCATTTGGCCAGAGTCCTATTCCATTGATGTATATCTCATTAACAGATTGCCAAGCTCTACGTTATCATTCATATCTCACTTCCAAAAGCTCTTTTGTAGTAAACCAGATTATTCTTTTATTTGGGTATTAAGATGCGTATGCTTCCTACACATTTATTCATCTCAAAGAAGTAAAATTTCTCAGAAGGCTTATAAGTGTGGGTTTATTGGATACATCTTCGAACATAAAGGTTACCGATGTTAAGACAAAGTGTCAAGACACTTTTTCATTACAAGACATGTAACATTTGATGAAACTAGATTCTACTTTAGGAATCAATGTTCCCAAATTAACACAAATAGCATGTCAAATAATGTGTCTGCACCTATTTCAATGCCTTTTTAATTGCAGGAAAAAATAACTCACAAGCTCTAATACCATGTAAAACTTGTGAAACCTTAGAGAGAGAAAGTGAAGAGAATACCACGAATCATTCATTCTACTCAACAATTAGTTTTACATATTAGTATATATATGTATAGTAGACAAAAATACCTTTGAGGGTAAAGAATGAACAAATGCCCTATACAATGTTATAAAAGATAATATCATCCTTAACACGAACTTCTCTCATGGCGTTCGACAACCCCAATAAAAATCAACAAGATAACGATTCCACCGCTACTGGAAACAATGGCTTGACAATTGACAGGATTGGAGAAAGCTTTGCCATCGATTACTTTTCACCATACTACCTACATGCTTCGGATAATCCAGGTATGATTGTAGTCTCTCAACGTCTTACTGGTGATAACTATCCCACAACGTTCCATTAAAGTGACATTTGTAACCAAGAATGAGCTATGCTTCATTGATTCCCCACCTTCCACAGTTATGGCAAGCACATTTCTCTCTATAAGAATAGTCCGGGGTTGAAGTGGGAGAGAAGGGATGTCATAATTGGGGTTTTGAATAAGACGACCCTTTCACTTAATAAGAGGTGTTAATCTTTATGTCATCCTGGCGTTGAGCTATTTTTCTATAGGACCTCCCCCACAGTATCATCACCGTAGTAGAGCTTAATCACCAAGTTTGGGATGGAGGGTGTAATTTCATGGCTGCTCAACATAGTTTCCATTGACATTGGCAACAACGTGAATTATGCTAATTCGGCTCGAGAGCTATGGTTAGACCTTGAAGATAGGTTCTCTCAAGGAAATGGTCCGACAATCTATGAATTGAAGAGGACAATAACCACATTTCAGTAGGAACAATTGTTAGTTTATGCTTACTATACATCCTTAAAGACGTTGCGGAAGATGTCATTTTGTTTATGTGGAGCAAACAAAGAATTGCAGGCCCATCTACAATCTGAACGTATATATCAGTTTCTCATGGAGCTAAATGAGACTTTTGGAACTCTATTCTGACTATAGAACCCATGCCAAACATCAATAAAATTTATTCTTTAGTCCAACAAAAAGAAATACAAAGAAATCTCTAAGTTACTAGTACTTCTGGTCATGAAAAACAAAAATCTATCTTTGCTCATTGTGTAGAATAGGCCACGATCGCAGTAAATATTTTGAGTTGCATGGGTACCCAACATGGCAACCAAAATCTCGTATGGCCATTGCTTCACGTGCTGGAGCCTCCAAAGTAACTGCTGTTACAACACCTCTTGCTGATTTTTCTCCTTCTTCTTCAAGTCAGGCTGTAATTCCAATTCCACAACTCACTACCAATCAATATCAGCAACTTTTATCACTCTTGAACATCGACGGACAACCCTCTGCAGCAAACTTTACAGGTATACAACACAGTAACTCTGCAGTCCACTCTCCACTTACCTCTTGAGTCATTGATTCAGGTGCTTCTCACCTCTTTGCACTCAACTTATCATTGCTTTCTCATGCTACTGAAAATGCAAATGCTAAACCTGTATGCCTTTCAAATGATACTAACATGCCTGTTACTCATACTGGAAAGTCCATTATTTCATCCACTATTACGTTAAATAGTGTTCTTTTGTACCATCTTTCAACTTTATTCTTCTTTTTATTAATAAGTTAATTGATTCATTGAACTGTGCTGCCATTTTTTTCCAACATTTTGTGTCTTTTAGGACCTGAAAACGAAGAAGCTGAGAGATGAGAGATGGGTTGTATCACTATGTTTAGCCACTGAGAAATAAACAAGTTGCTCTTCCTACACAACATGGTTCAAACTCTGAACTTTGGCATCGAAGATTAAGACATCCATCCCGACATAGTTTGTCTAGTTTACCTTCATCTCATTTAAATATTTTTCCATGTTCTGTTGCACCTTGTGATGTATACATTTTGGCTAAACAGACCCATTTCCCATTTACTTCTAGTTTGAATAAATGCTCTTCTCCTTTTGAACTTATTCACTGTGACATTTGGGGAGGTTATCCAACTCCTTCTCATTCAGGTACTCATTAGTTTCTTACTATTATGGATGACTTCTCTAGATATACTTGGATAATTCAAATCTGAAACACATCTTTTACGATGAACTTTCTTGCCATGGTAAGAACTCAGTTCCATTGTCATGTCAAACAAGTTAGAATAAACAATGACATTGAATTCTTATCTAATTCCATGAAAACTCTTTTCATGAACAAGGCATATTACACCAACGAACTTGTATACACACTTCACAACAAAATGGTGTTGGAGAACGCAAGCACGACCACCTTTGGAGGTAGCACGTGCCTTGCGAATTCAAGCTAATTTACCAATTACTTTATGAAAAAACACTGCATGAAATACTCCTTAGATGCTATCCCAAGTATGACTACCTTCGCGTTTTTAGATATCTATGTTATGTCCATAACAATGACACTCAAAGACACAAGTTCGACCCTTGTGCAAAACATTGTATTTTTGTTGGTTATCCACTTGGACAACAAGGTTATCGGGTGTATGCTAATGGCTCTAAGAAAATTTTCACTAGTAGGGACATGATCTTTCATGAAAATATTTTCCCTTTTCAAACTACTTTGCCATCTACTACCACCACTCCCTTCTTCATCCCTGAAATCCAATATGATGGAATTATTGATGATCTCATTCTTCCTAGACACCAGCCATCTACATCAACATAAACCACACTCTCTACACACTCTAATCCCTCTTCCTCTGATGACCAATAACCAATTGATAATGGTGTTCCCTTACCTAGCCCCTCACCATCATCCCCTAATAGCAACATATCTTAATGATTATGTTTGTAGTTCAGCCCGAGACAACATGCCCAATTTCCCATCTCACACTTCCAAATAATCTTCTTCAGGAATTTTCCCCTCAGATAAACCCTACCCTATTGCCTCTATCTTTCTGATGATGTTTGTTTTGCTCCTTATAAAGTTTTTTTGACTACTATCTCTTCTTATAATGAACCTTCCACTTTTAAAAAGGCCATCTTGCATCCTCATTGGAGAGATGCCATGGCCACATAATTTTAGGCTCTTGAAGAGAATAAAACCTAGACCCTACAACCCTTACCATCTGGTAAGCACCCCATTGTCTGCAAATGGGTTTATAAAATTAGGTTCCGTGATGATGGATATATAGAAAGACACAATGCATGTTTGGTTGTCAAAGGCTACACACAAATCACGAGATTCGATTATCATGAGACTTTTGCACCTGTCGCTAAGCTAGTTACAGTGCGATGTTTACTTGCCATTGTCTCTGCAAGGAATTGGCCTTTGCACTAATTGGATGTCAACAATGATTTTCTGCACGGTGACTTACATGAGGAAGTTTACATGACTCCTCCACCTGGTTATACCTGAAAAGGGGAGAACCTCGTTTGTCGACTTCTCAAATCTTTATGTGGCTTCAAACAGGCCTCTAATCAATGGTTTGACAAGTTTTACAACGCACTCAAGGCAGCCGGTTTCAAGCAATCCATTGATGATTATTCTCTGTTTATATGCTCCAATGGTCACCACTTTATCGCTGTACTTGTTTATGTGGATGATGTAATTGTTACTGACAATGACAACCACTCGATCAATCGTTTGAAATCCTACTTGGATACAAAATTTCACATCAAGGACTTGGGGTGGCTCAAATATTTTCTTGGTATCGAGGTTCCCTGCTCAGCCAAGGGCATCTTCCTTAGCCAAGGAAAATATATCTTGGACATTTTGAAAGAAACTGGTTTCTTGGATCCAAACTAGTATGATTCCTAATGGAAATCTTCGGTTGAAGGTGGATGGTGTTGTTTTAGACGACCCTGGTTCTTATAGATGCCTTGTTGGAAGACTCATTTATTTGACGATTACGCTCCTTGATATCACTTACTCAGTACATGTGCTCAGCCAATTCATGTAGACACCTTGCAAGTCCAGCTTGATGTTGCTCAACGAGTTCTACGATATTTGAAGGCCACTCCCGAGCATGGAATTTTGCTTCCATTAGCAAGTGACTTAAAGATCACAACCTACTCTGACTCAAATAGGGCAAGTTGTCCCATGACTCGTCGTTCTACTACTGAGTATATTACCTTTTTAGGTACAAGTCCAATCTCTTGGCGCTCTAAAAAGCAAAACACTGTAGCACGATCTTTGACTGAGGCTGAGTATCGGTCTATGGCCACCTCTTCGTGTGAATTGACATGGCTTAAGTTTCTCCTTGATGATCTTGGTGTTCCTCACTCTCGGCTTATGCATATCCATTGCGATAACCAAGCTGCTCTCCATATTGCAGCCAATCCTGTCTTCAATGAACACACGAAATACATAGAATTGGACTGCCATCTTATTTGGTAAAAGATACAATCTGGCCTCAACTCCACTTCTTATATACCATCAAGATTACAACTTGCATATATCTTCATTAACCCCTTGGTTATGCGCAATTTCACTTATTGTTGTCCAAGCTGGGCGCTACTTGTCTTCACGCACCAGCTTGAGGGAGAGTATTGACGATTTCAAATTCAAGTGACGATTTCGAATTCAAATTCAAAATTAGAAGACCCATTCAAAATGAGATCTTGTTATTGTTATAGCTATTTGTTTGTTATCTCATCCCTTCAATCATGGGTTTAAGAATTATTTGTATTTATCTTCTATCTTGTACATCTGTAAGTGGGACGTTGTGTCCATTATGAAGATAGCACTTTCACATTTTAACATGGACCAACAAATCCACCAGGCAAGAAGATCTCCATCCTTTTTTATGTTTTAGGAAATTTATCAAAGTATCGATGAGATATGAAGTTTTGAATAATTTAACACTTTACCCATATCTCTTTATTAAAAGGATTGTATACTATGAAACCATTTATCTTTCTTACAAGGAGATCACAATTATACCTAGCCATTAGAAGTAATTGGATGGCTTGGGGTGTGTCAAGAAGTTCAAGAAATTTTATTTTCAACTTTAGTGTGGTTAATGACATATTCACAACCACCCAATATGAAATCTTAAGGACAAGAGTGAATATGACCTCCTTGTGTTAAAAATAAATAGTTTCCTTCTATACTTTTCAAATATTAAATACTTCATCTTTAATCGGTATTTTGATAAATTTCTCTCATTCTTTTGCTCTTTTTACTTTCCCACTTCTTTCTATTTCAAGGTGTTGTAAATTTTAGTGAGCATAGTTTGCGCATGTATCAATTTTAGTTGAGGTTCAATACTTTTAATATATTGAACACAAATATGGCTTGCGTAGGCGAACTGAACCTGCTTCATTTTGGGTCCGAGTTAGCTTGGGTGATTTGTTGAGTTGGCTTGGCCAACGCAGTTAATAAGAAAAACAAAAAAAAGTAATCTTGGAGGAAAAAAAAAAAACATAGTAATAAAATCAAAACCTAATATTTCACTTCATCAAATAAAATATTTAAATGAAATAAAATAAAAAACATTTTGCAATGAAAATGGCTAAAAAAGTTAGTGAAAGGAACCAAACATTTTTTTGTTTGGATTAAAAGAAGGAAAAAATTTATGTAAGGGTAAGGCTCTAAACAATCAAATAAAGGCGCACCACAAACATTCACTAGAAGAAGTTGTTTCGTTGTCCAAAACTCCTCAAATCGATCATCCTGACCTCAAGATATATGGATATGAGAACAAATGGATTTCAAGCCTTGGAAATAGAGCATCTTGTAATGCATTTTCTAGACCGTCAATTTTCAAGATATTTAAGTGTTCGTAGATCTGCTCGATCTATACTATTTTTGAAGCTTTAAATCTTATAATTAGATATGAAAATAAATTTTCAGGCCATCACAAAAATTTTCAATACTAAAATGACATTTGAAGGTGCACCTTACTTTGATTAGTTAGGGCCTCAGATTTATACAAACCATACCCTTAAATAAATGTGTTATTTGAATAGCTCAGTGGTAGGAATTGAACTTGAGATATAGCCATGCTAAATGTCTGCTTCTAATCACTGAAGCTCAAGTGCAATTCATGTTTAAACGAATATTGCTAAGGCATTTGTAGATCAATATCCTGCTTCTAATCACTGAAGCTCAAGTGCAATTCATGATTAGAAGAATGTTGCTAAGGCATTTGTAGATCAATATCCTAGGAACACTTTGAGACAAATTTGGTGAAACATTGAGCGAGAAATGGAAGATATTCGAATTTGGGTAAAAGAAAGTCTTGAAATTTCAACTCTAGATCTCTTCACACAAGGTCTTTGATCTAACAAATTATAGAAGGACCCAAAGTGGTCATCTCAAAACAAATTTCAAAAGAAATGGTGGAGAATTGAAGGAGAAAACGATAAAAAGCAGATTGGATTACAAAAATGTGGGAAAAAAAAACCAAAATTTGATATTCAGATTTTGTTTTGGGATCTTGATCGAAAAGTTTCTATAAGGTTATTGTAGATTAACAAGATATAAACAAAGTGGAAAAAATTGGAAATTTTGCGAGGAAATGAAGGAAATCAATGTTTCTCTTTTTGATTTCTAAAAAAAAGGCAACTCGATTGATTGTGGGGAGAATCAGGTGGCCCCCTACTGGGTCCATGCTGACTTGGGTGATTCCGAGTTAGTTCAAAATTATTGAAACTTGATTAAAAGTCTCCGTACTGAAACTTGTTTATATGATACCAGAGGGATGTGTTTCCTTGGCACATGTGGTAAAAGTGAGACAGAGCCTCAAGTTGATTTTAATCCTTTAAATATAAGCATAAAAGCTTATTTTTTTATAATTTTATTTCAAATAAATATAAGCATAAAAGAACCTGTAATTGGTGGAATAGTTCGGCTAAAAATATGGTTTTTATGTAAATAAAAAAGAATTTCCATGAGAGGTGAGTCTCGAATTTATATACAGATTGTTGGAGTTTGCTTTTCAAATTATATATGAGTTGGAGTGTTGGGAAGAGAGAGACATAGCGTTATGTTGGAAGTTAGGCTACCCTTTAATTTCTCTATACAGTGTCTCCCAAAATAAGTACCCTGTACTATTTTGGGATACTCTGCGTAGGAAAATTATAGGTTGCTTACCCACCTGTCCATCTCTTACGGGTGACTTAATAATGGAGAATTGTCACACCCCAAGAATTTACAATACTGTTATTCCTGAGATGTGACAGACAAAACATATATACATCTATTGATAGGATAAATTTACAGTGGCGAGGTCTGACAAAGTAAATAAATAAAGCTAGTACAACAACAGTATCTTCTAAGGTTGATCTTGACTAACACTCAAAATGAATCCGCAGTTATTCTGCAAAAATG